TCCTTTCCTTAGTACCTTTGGAGAATGATGGGGTATAAATTAGTCAAAGAAGACAGGACATCTCTGACAACCTGAAAAGAATATGTCCTGGAAACAAATAATTTCAATCTAGAGGCAATCTTCTTGGAAGAAGAGGACCCAGTGAATTATTTTTGAGACTTTTCCAAAATTAAGTATGTTATCTTTCAGCAAAGCATCTACATGTGTGATCCTGAAAGCCAATCAAATTCTAGAGGGAAGAGTGTTTTGACATCTCAAAATTTTTCCTTGTTAAGATCTGATTAGATTGGCCTAAAGTGTCTCTAAAACGTATATAAGCATGTGTTTTGACATACAATAATTTTGGTTGTGTTAAGAACATATTTTATTTCTCTATCTCCAAGTCAAGGAATTCTCCTTTTGAAAGATGGAGTCTTATGTATCCCAAGCTGGTCCCAGACTTTTTGTGTACAGAGGAAGTCGTGAACGTCTGAGTGCTGGGATCACAGGCGTGTACACCACAGCTACATTATGTGGTGCTGGAGACGTTGGGCATGCGAGGCTCAGCACTCTACCAACTCAGATACATTCCATTCCCGTCCCCTCATTGTAAGGATTTATCTTCCTGCTTAGAACCTGGCAAGTGTAAAAAAAAATTTTTTTGAGACGGGGTCTATGTAGCCTTGGGTGTCTGGGGACTCGCCAATGTAGACCAGGCTGGCCTCAAATTCACAGAAACCCATCTGCCTCATAAGCACTGAGATTAAAGGTGTCTGCCAGTATGCCTGGCAAGTGTGCTTTTTTTTTTTTTTTTTTTTTTTTTTGGAGACAGGGTTTCTCTGTGTAGTTCTGGCTGTCCTGGAACTCACTCTGTAGACCAGGCTGGCCTCGAACTCAGAAATCCGCCTGCCTCTGCCTCCCAAGTGCTGGGATTAAAGGCGTGTGCCACCACTGCCCGGCGAAAGTGTGAATTCTTAATAGCAGTTAATTAAAGGAAGAGTAGAATGCTTTATGTAAATCTAAAATGATGTCAGTAGTAATAATACCTTGCTTATTTTACCGATTTTCTCTTAGGTGAAAAAGACATAACTGAAAGGCAGGATACATTAAAGACAAATTCTGTAAACTACATGTGGTGGTGCATCCTTTAATCCCAGCACGTGCGAGGCAGAGGCAGGTGGAGTTCAGGCCACTATGACCTACAGCGTGAATTCTGGTTTAGATTTAATTCTCAAACAGTACCTATAAACCTAGACAAAGTTTAAAAAGTGACCAGCAAGAAATGACATAGCTGGCTTTTTGCTTTAATAAAAAATTTTTTTTATTAAAGGGTTTTTTTTTTTTTTTTTTTTGAGACAGGATTTCTCTGTATCCTTGGTTGTCTTGGAACTTGCTCTGTAGACCAGGCTAATCTTGAACTCAAAACATCCACCTGCCTCTGTCTCCAAGTGCTAGGATTCCCAGCTAAGATTGATTTATTTTTATTTTATGTGCATTGGTGTCTTGCCTGCACGTATGTTTGTGTGAGGGTGCCAAATCCCCTGGAACTGGAGTTACAGTTATGAGCTGTCATGTGGTTTCTGGGAACTGAAAACAGACCTCTGGCAGAGCAGTCAGTGCTCTTAACCACTGAGCCATCTCTCCAGCCCCATAAAGAACACGTTAAAGAAGTTATTCTAACTATTTTTGAATCTTCCTTTGGGACTGCCTTCAAAATTGGTTAAGCAGAATTAATCAGTGTGATTCTCCATTAACCACAATTCTTCATCTTAAATTCTAAGTAGTCACACTAGGTCTGCCATCTTCTTCCTGCATAAGCAGTGTCTTTGGGAATGTTACAGCTGTTTCTAAAATTAAAATTCAACCCCAGTCAGCCAATTATTTTCCATTAACTTTTTTTTTTTTTTTTTTTTTTTTTTTTTTAGTGGAAGTTGCAGAAGAGAAAACTCCAAGCTATTTTGTGGTCAGAATTGAGCATGGCAGTGAGGAAATGGCACTACACTTTACAAGAAGCCAGCCTGGACAGAGATTCCTATTTAAGGCACTGGAACTCTTATATTATTAAAAAAACAGTAATATGATTTCTCTTCATGTTTACAATCATACATTAAGTACTAGAGGAAAATATTTCAATTTATCAAGATTCCATGGGTTCTGTAAGAAATACCATACCTATTATTCATATGACTGAATGTCTTTGTACTAATGATGCATTTCCAAATGAAATCAAACAAACAGTGGCTCTCCATCTGTCTACACCTCAGTCTCAGCTGTGCAGTGACAATAATGGCGTTCCTCCCTCACACTCAACCTTACAAAGGAACCATGCAAGAAACACAGTACACAGCAGGGGCCCAACAAATAACCAACAGTACTGTTATAAATTAAAATGTAAAATTCTAATAATTAACATCTCAATTTTTATAAAATTAAATACGAATTACTATAGTTGGTTTGAAGTGAGTTTATAACTTTTTTATGTTGAATGGCATGTTTAAATTTTTCTTCCCTGAAGTGAATATTATAAAATTCACAAACCTTTATACCGTACCCCTCCCAGGTACAGTTCGGTAACACTTTACTGCAACACAAGAACATATAAATCTAAGAAGTGAGGAACAGTACCAGGAGAAGCGATATTCCAGTCCACGGACGAGCAAGCAGCAGACCCCGCAGAAGGGCATGCGTAGGTTTTCTGGCTAGAATGATTTTCTGTTACTGAAACTTCAGTCTCTGAAGTCTTCTCTGTATCGTTTTGATCTTCCATGTCCTCTCGAGTCTGGGAAGACACTAATCCAATGCAAGCATACAATTATGAAAAACATAAAGGGAAAAGATAAGAAACCAGAGCAGAAACAGTAACATTTGGAAACAAAGTTTTAGCTGAAGATAGTCACCAAACATAAATAGTGAACCGGTGGGACAGCGAGGACGACAGAGAGCAGAGTTAGTGAACTAGATGGCAGATCTGGAGAAGTACTAGCGAATACACCGGATCCCTAAAGACGAAGAAATTGTGAAGCGTTTAAAATACACACATGCAAAACAAACAAAGCAAGCCACAATAGGAAATGGTGAGACGGCTTAGCAGATGAATGTATTTGCTGCCAAGCATGAGAACTTCAGTTGGACCTACAGGACTCACACAGGAGGAAAACAACTCCCTCAGGTTGGCCTCTGACCTCTAGTATGCATTGCCCTGCCCTCAAGCAAATAAACAAACATGTAAGTTTAAAATATTAAAGAAATAGAACAAGGTCCAAAATAAACCTAATAGGCATTTTCAGAACAGAGAGGAAGGAGATGGAAATAGCACCAACTTCCCAATGTTACATCTACCTAGGTGTAAGATAGAAATTCATACCTAGACATTGTATCAAAAAAGAAAAGTGAGTAAGAAGCAAATTTTAAGGCAACTAGAGATTTTAAAGCAGCACTTAAGACTAACATCACATAGGCATTGTAAGCTCAACCATTAGAAAAGTCAATAAATACTGGGACAATGCCTTCAAATAACGAGGGAAACACTAGTCAGAGTCAGCTTGACAGTAAAGCTGTTTTCAAGGATGGGGATGGATAATTCACCAGGCACAGACTTGGAAAGAACAAATAATGGAAGTGAGGATGAAATGTTTGCAGATAGACACAGGATGCACACACGTGGTACACACATACATGTAGGCAAAACACCCATATAACATACATAAAAATAAAGAAAGAGTAAAAGGTTAGACATAGGGTGGCTCACACACAGGAGGGGTTTTTTGAAGCCAGGCTTCAATACCAGCCCTGGTACCAACACAAACCTTCAGAAACGCTGATGGCTTTTGAAGCTAGTAGCTTTTCAATTTCAGGGTCAGAAGATAATCCAACATGATCCACCACTCCAGCCTACAAAAAACAAACAAACAAAAAAACACAGCAAAACAACTGTTGAAATGTTAAACTTTCATAATGTCAAAATACCATACACAAGTCTATGTACATTTTAAGCACTTTAAATAATACAACAAAAATGAAAGAAATAGGGTAAAATCTAGTCTGAGCTAATTGTTGGGCATCACAAAGAGGAAGTTCTTACTACTAACTGATGTGGCATCATCTCACAAGGGTTAGGAGATGACTTCACCTGGTTCTGTAATGAGAGAGAAAGTTAGCCACCATTGTGACAAAGTCTTCTACATGCAGACGAGAAAACAAGGCCCAGAGACTGAGCAATTTCCACAGTGCCAGGTCAAGGATTTCAAGTTCTTGTGCTTCCAAGTGAGTACTTATTCACAGTGTCCTACTCCCCTGCCTCATCCAGGCCTGCAAACTACTTTGTTAAACTTGGAAAAGGAAAGTGTTGGTACTTTAATTGGAGATGAAGGAAGGAATGTAGGGAGATAGGGAGAAAGGAGAGAGAAATAACATTATAGATATTTTAAAAAGTCATAGGGTAACAATAAGCTTACTTAGGAATGCATATTATTATGTGTGTGCGTGCATACAGACATATGTTTCTGGCTTTAAATAAACTTCTACTACTAGCTCAGAAGGCAATCTCAAAAGAGAGTCTTTGAAGAAAAGGCCGCCAAGGATGACTCTGATGCTCAAGATTCATTTGGACATGTCCAAGTTTGTGTTTGCTAATCCCAGCACTCAGGGAGCAGAGACAGTCAGATCTTGGAGTTTGAGGACAGGCTGGTCTACAAAAGCATTTCCAGAACAGCCAGGACTACAGAGAAACCCTGTCTCAAAAGAAAAAAAAAACCCTAAACAAACAAAAACATACTATATAAATACCACCACCGTACTGTTATTAGTAATGACCTAGTCATAGTTTATGTGATTTCACATGTTTAATCTTAACTTTCTAATATATAAGGATTATAAGAACAGTCAGTATGTTATCTAGTCCAGAAAGAATGGCTATTGTCAAAAAGACTAAATGCTACATGTGCTGATGAAGATGTGGAAAAAAGGCAATTCTTGTATACTGTTCATGGGAATGCAAATTAGAAGAGCAATTATGTTGAACACTACGGTGATTCCTCAGAAGGTTAAAAATAGAACAATAAAATCTAGCTATCCTATATCCAAATAAATAAATAAATAAATAAATAAATAAATAGAAAAAAAAACCATCTGGATTCGTATGGTCACTGTAGTACCATTCACAGAAGTCCAGAAATGGACACTTTAGCATGCATAGGTGGCCTGTGAGATCTACCCTGCCTAAGACAGCAGATCTAGCGGGCATCTTCAGCACCCTCCCACACTCAAGCCTCTGCCTGACAGTTTGATCCTAACAACACGAAATGGAAACAATCGTAGTATCCATAAATGGATGAATGAAAAAAGAAAATACAGGACACACAAGAGACACAAAACAACAAGCCCTGTTACCATACCAATATGGACAAAACTGAAGATCATTATGTTACAGAAAGAGAAGCACATGACTTCACTCTTCTGGGGCAGTGCAGGCAGTGTTCTCAAAGAAACCATGAGGCTGGAGAAACTGTGGTGACAGAGGACGGGGGTTGGGAATGACTGCCGCAGTCACACAGAAGGCAGACACTATGTGTGCTGCATGTCAGGGTGACTACAGGGAACAGTAATGTCCTGTACATTTCAGAAACCTGGAAGAAAGCAATTCCTAAAGTTTCATTACAAAGAAATGATGAATGCTTGAGGAGACAGATTTAATTGAATTTCAATATTACATAATACATACTTGCAAAATGGCAAGTGGTACTTGATTAATAGGTGACCCCTTGTGAAAGGACTGTTTAACCACCAAAGGGGTCAGGGACCCACAGGTTTGAGAACTGCTGACCTAGCCTGTCAACAATTCTGAAGTTAAAAAATTCTAGCTTAACTTTTTTCTCATTATTTAACAGTCAGATATCTAAAATTTTACCCTAGTAATCATTCTATATATCTACTAACTCAATTGCATCCATCACCACAGGCGCTCACACCCACAAAAGCACCAGAAAACAAGAATGACACCTTTTCCCAGTGTAGATTCAGCACTTCTGGTGCAGGGAAGTCTTGCTCTATATGTTCTGCAATGGTCTGTACTGTTAAGAGCTGCTCATCCATCTTCTGAAGCTTGGCAGTAAGATGTTCAAACTTTTGAGTAGAGGGGCTTGGTGTGGGACACGCAGCAGGGCTTGGTGTGGGACACGCAGCAGGGCTTGGTGTGGGACACGCAGCAGGGCTTGGAGGAGGACACGCAGGAGAGCCATCCTGTAGCAGGGTCCAAAGCAGGGACTGTTCCACAGGGTCCAAGTTTGTGCTCTGTTCCTTGAACTGTAAGTTTTGTTCTAGTATATCTAAACAATAATCAAAGAAAGATCAGCATTAACTTTACTAAAGGAAAAAGTAGACACAGATAGTCTCACTTTAAGCCAATATACCATTACTTTTCAAATCTATTTTATTAAGAAATGTATCAATTCAATTCAGTGTCTACACTGCTGCAATGTATCTCTGTAGTGAATTAAGACCTATACAAATGTAGCCCCACAAAGCTCTACGCACAGCAATTTGAACGTCACCTTTACACCTTCTTACACAGTGCGCCAAAAGCAACTTAAGTTCTTTTTGACTTTTTGAAAACGAACAGTATTACACAGTAAGAGCTGGATTCAGTGTTGGCTACTACTGACTTTCACAGAGTCTAACAGGACCTACTAGAAACACAAATATGATAATTGTTACTTTTCTCCCCAAAGCCTTTCCAATGCCTTCACTTTAAAGGTCTACATGTTTCAACGTGTCTAACAATGACAGTTTTCTTCCACCTCCAAACCTTCAGCTCTTGCTACTGCTTTTGACAATTCTAAGAATTTCCTTAAGAATTTCTAAGAATTGACCTTCCCAAGCCCAGCAGGCTCACAAAACTGTAGTATTGCAGCCAATCCTCTCAGTTGAGTGCAGTCAGCCATCAGTGTTGGTATCTCTCCTTTAAACCACCGGAGGACATCTGATGCTGTGTTGCTCAAGAATGTCATCAGCCATCCCTCACAGCACGACAAGCTGTGTCCTGGTCATCCCTTTACTCCTCTGTCTTCCTTTCTCCAGTCACTGCCCATAGGCTGACAATCTGCAATTACTTTTTCACTCCTAGTACTGGGTCCCTAAATAGTTACACAATGAGAAATCCATCAAAAACAGACTTTTGCCTACTGCATTTAGCTCATAGAAGTTTTATGAAGTTCAAGTTTTGCAATGAAGTACTCTGAAAAAAGAGAAGTATGAACAGATATAAATGGTGCTCTATGATAGTCTCTGGCCCTAGTCCTGGTTAGGCCTTCCCAAGAGAAGATGTTGTCAGTGCTGATCTTACCCTGCTTACCCCTGCTTCAGCTGACTCTCATATTTCCCAGCAGCCTGAAGTGTCACCTCTTACCTCCCTCAGGAATATCTGGTGCACACAGACTTAAAGGAAAAAATACAGCAGAAACCATGGCCTTGTTGTGTAAGGAAAGAAGCTGGCTGAATTTAGAAATATATATGCTTATACACAGATAGACACATAGGCACGAACAACTAATGAAAAAGAGTCCATGAATTTGAAAGAGACCAAGGAAGGGAATATGGGGGGATCTGAAGGGAGGAAAGGGATAGGAAAGGATATAATTACATTATAATCTTTAAAAAAATCCTCAAAAACCAAAAACCTCCATTATTAGTTGGCTACCATGCCCATGTATTTACTACATACTATTACAGAATTTCCGACACATGTATTTTATCATTTGTGTTTGTGTGTGTGGCACCATGTGAGTGTGAAGGTCACGGGACACTTGTAGGGAGCTGGTTTTCTCCTTCTGTCCTGGAATCTGTGGTTGAACTCGAGTATCAGGCTGGGAAGTATGAGTGCTTTCACGAGCACAGAAGTTCCCTTCTTTTCAAAGACAGAGAATTTCTTTAAAACATCAAAATACTAAAGGACTCTGACATTTATTTTCAGCCTTACTACCTTGGGAAGGTGCACAGGTAGATCTGAAGTCTCCTTGCAGACTACTAAGAGTCCCTCCCAGGCTAGGAGCCCTGGCTGCACCTCATTTACATACCTCACCCCGCTCTCCTGCAAGTGCTTCAGCAATGATTAAGCAGCAGCACTTCTTTCTAAAGTAAAGGGATCCAGGGAGGGCAGCCACACCTACACCCGGGCTGTTACCTCCATCCTGTTGCTGGTCTGGTGTCATCACTGAGGGAATCTCAGGCTCCTTTGCTTCTACAACACTCTGTCTCCAGCCTTCCCCACTCTGACAGGATTGGGTCGTTTTTGCAGGTTCCGAAATTAAACCCAGAGTAGAACTTGCAGATTCTATCAAAAAGAACACACAAATCTTGAGGGTCAGTGGCTAAGCCTAGCATCTGGAAAGCTAACAATGTTTCTAAATGTGGACAGAAGCATGCCACAGGGCAATGTATCTGGAGGAGATCTAGAAGATGTGGGGTAAGAATGAGAGTGCTAAGTACATTTTAGTGTGTTTAATCTGTTTTAAAGTAAGAAAATATTACCTTGACTCTGAAAAGTGTGAGGGGGAACAGCACTGACAACTGAAGCTGCCATACAGTGTAACTCTGCAGACGAGGGAACTTGTGGAGGAGAATGGCTCTGCTGCTTGGTGACATTATCTGAAGGCTCTTCGCTGGGAGGTAATCCCAACAGATCATCAGCTTCAATGTCAATCACGTCTAAGAACATGTGTCTAGCCTGAGTTAAACACAGAGTAATCATTCTTTATTTTTTACTTTAGATGACCATAAAAGGGGTAGTGGCAGTCTCCTTCATCACTCCTCTATTATTAACAAGAGGATGCATGCCTAACTTGGAGAAAGCAGCACCAACTATGTTCCTGGTTCTAGTTTACAGTACGAGAGGGCATAACATTAAACTAGTTTTCTTACAAGGCTATGCACATTTTTATATTCATTTCACCCATTAAATGGGATACTATATGGATGACCATATAAGTTTTGACACATGGTTATTATTAAAATTCAATGCATAGACCAAGGCTATTACCATATGAGGTGGGGAAGGAGACAAGGGTTTCTCTGCTTCTCCAGTGGGAAGTCTGACATTTAGATAGATATCTGGAATCAAAGGCTGTGGAACATTCAAAGGTTCATGGCCTGGAAATTAAGGAAAGAAAATCAAAAATGTTAAACATGTCTGTAGTCATTAAGTTTCTAAGAATACATTTTCAACAAACAACATAAGATGTATATTTCTTAAAAATCTAAATAGAAACATCTTAGGTATAAATAGATTAAAGAAAATTAAACTGCCAGGTAGTGGTGGTGCACACCTTTAAGCCTCGCACTCAGAGGAGGCAGAGGCAGGTGGATCTCTGTGAGTTTGAGGCCAGCCTGATCTACAAAATAAGTTCCAGGACAGTGAGGGCTAGACAGAGAAACCTTGTCTCAGGAAAAAAAAAATTCTAGTCTAAGGGTGATTTTCTATAATTAAAGACAAAAAAACTACTTTTATGAATAACATATATGGACAATAAACTATTTAAAATTGTAAAGAATATAATTTCCTATTTCTATTTTAAATATATTAGGTATTTTACTTAAGAGAAACATACATATTAGCTACATTTTAAAAACTTGCAGTAGTTTATTTTCACTGATATGTAATTCATACTTCTACAATAATCATAGGACTCATTACTAACTTTTCCAGTTTAAAAGGTTTTAATATCTGAATTTCACTAGCTAATTGCTTCTTATTCAACGGTAGATAAAGAGGGTCATCACTGCAGAGGTGCAGACAGTTGAGCTCTGTGCTTCTATTCTACGACTCAAATCTGCTTTTCTAGCATTTTAATAAAGTAGTACTTTAAATTCCTATGTAAAATGAAATTCATATCATATTGGCTTTACTGAAAAACTGCTAATAAAGATGGAATTTAATCACGGGTTATCTTTAAAAAAACAAAGAAAAAATAAAGCAAAAATTATTTAAGTTGTCAACCTATCTCTATGAAGCCACTTGCTTGGTTGAACTGTCCTTTCTAAGGGAGAAGTGACTTCAGCTTTAGCAGCCGTAATGCAGACATCACTGTGATAAATCAACCTACTCTCAGACAGCAAAGAACTCACCTGAGTTTGTAGAAATGACTTGTTGATTTTTCTTACGTTCAGAATCAACTTCTTGGGAAGTACCTTCCTTGTCTTGTGGTAAATTCAGATATATGAGGAAAAAAGAAAAAAAACAGGAAAAGAATTTTACAAACAGGAAAATTAAATATATAAATTCAGATAATTAGATAGTATATGTAAAAGGTAGTCAGAAAATAGATTGCCAGCTTAATTTAATTTTTAAGCAATATGACTGTAGATTTTATTTTATTTTACTCTGAGACATGGTCTTACTACATAGCCCTGGCTGACCTGGAACTCATTATGGTGATCAGGACAGCTCTAGACTCAGAGATCTGTGAGGCGGGAAGGGGAAGGGGGGAAGGAGAAGGGGAAGAGGGGAAGGGGGAAAGGGGGAGGAAGGGGGAAGGGAAGGAAGGAAGGAGAAGGGGGAAGGGGAAGGGAAGAAGGAGAAGGGGAAAGGGGAAGGGGGGAAGGGGGACGGGACGGGGCGACGGGGGAAGGGAAGGGAAGAGACCCATGGCCTAGGGAGTCTAAGTCACAATATTATTTGTACTCACTTGAAATCTGTAACATGTTAATTTTCAACAAAAATTTCTATTTTATGTTTTATTTAAATTATAAGTTCAAGTTATTATAAATGCTATTTCTTTTTCATTAATTAATTTATTTATTCACTTTACATGCCAGTAACAGCGCCTCTTTTTCCTCTCTCCCTGCAACTACCCCCTCCCCTATTTCGAATCTTCCCTAGGAGAATAACTTGGGATAAATATCTAATATCACATAATTTAAAATTTCCTTTAAATCACTGTCTTAAAGAGAAAGTATAAATACCTCAGCAAACTTTTAAAAGATGTAATTTTTAAAAATTATGTGTATGTCATATACATCAGAGGACTGTCTGGTCTGGCCTCAATAAGAGAAGATGCACCTAACCCTTGAGAGACTTGAGGCCCCAGGGAGTGGGGAGGTTTGGTGGGGTGGGGGTGAGGGGGTGGTAATATCCTCCTGGAGACTGGGGAGGAGGAATGGGATGAGGAAGTGTCAGAGGGTAGACAGGGATGGGGGTAACAACTGGACTGTAAAAAAAAAAAAAAAAAGTAAGAGCCAGGCGGTGGTGGTGCATGCCTTTAATCCCAGCACTTGGGAGGCAGAGGCAGGTGGATTTCTGAGTTCGAGGCCAGCCTGGTCTATAGAGTGAGTTCCAGGACAGCCAGGACTTCACAGAGAAACCCTGTCTCAAAAACAAAACAAAAAACACAAACAAAAAAAAAGTAATAAAAAAAATTGGATGGATATGTTGCTTCATGAATAAATGAGATTATTAATATAAAAAATTATGTGTATGTTAGTATGTATGCTGATGTAAGTACAGATGCCCTCAGAGGCAGGGGGCTGCATCAGATACTCTAGAGCTGAAATAAGATACTTGTGAGCTGCCTGCCATGTATGCTGGGGACCAAACTGGTTCTCTGGAAGAACAGCAACTGCTCTCAACCTCTGAGCTATGCCTCCAGCTGCAATATATGATTTTTTTAACTTGTAAAGTATTTACCTGGGTCTGTGTTTGTACTTGCATCATGACTTCCCACCGCTTTCTTTCGTACAGAGGCCATGAAATGCAGTCCCGCTGAAGTATTAACATCCTCTTCTAACATTTCTTAAATAGAAAACAAAATACAGCCGGGCAGTGGTGGTGCACGCCTTTGATCCCAGCACTTGGGAGGCAGAGGCAGGCGGATTTCTGAGTTCGAGGCCAGCCTGGTCTACAGAGTGAGTTCCAGGATAGCCAGGGCTATACAGAGAAACCCTGTCTCAAAAAACCAAAAAAAAAAAAGAAAGAAAGAAAGAAGGAAAGAAAACAAAATACAGAAAGCAATCACTGCGAGTCACCGTGTCAGTGGAAGCACAGTGACAGCAGGAAGGGGGCGATGGGAGGTTACCTCGGTACACTGTCTACATGAGGTACTGAATGAACTACATCGTAAAGGCAAGGCGAATCAAACCCACACTTGTAGAGGACACTATATGCCATGCTCAGAAACCTAGAACCTGCTCTAGCTAACGGAGATCCAACAGAAGCAACTCGAAGAGACCGTTATTGTAGAAAACTCACCCCATCCAATGTGTGGAAAGTAGATCTGAATGAATAAGACTGAAACCGTCAGATCAGGCTTCTACACCAGTATTATAAGGGAGGTAAGAGAGGCTAGGGCTGGTTACTGGGTAATAAGGGAAAGTAAAAGGCAGAATTTTGGGTTGTTTTTGGTTAGGCTGATATTAATATAAATGGAGAAATGTTTTTGGGCATAATATAATACACATCCACTGGTATACCACACATTCATAAAAAAAAATGGCATCATACAAATGACACTGTTCTGAACCAATTTGCATTTTTAACATGTGTGTACTTTCTATGACAAATTCAACGTTAGGCATATTTTCCCATAATTTCCTTATTTAGGCCTTTTTTATTCTATCTGACAAACTAGTTAACTACATCCGTCTACTGCAGAGCTTAGCAAACTTTCTGGGCAGTAACTCCACTACTTTGTCATGGTTAGAAAGCTAAGAGAGGTTATGTTTCAGTAAAACTAGAGTCATGAAAGCAGGCATGGTCTAGAGCAGGCCTCGATGTCAGCCTTTACTGGATAAAACATGAAGTACACAGACCCTCCACCTTGCTAAATAGAAGAGTAAAGTTACTGTGGTGGTCTGAATAAAAATGGCCCCATAGGCTCATATATTTGAACGCGTAGTCACCAGGGACCGGAACTGTGTAAAAGGATTGGATAGATTGGGAGGTATGGCCTTGTTGAAGGAAATGTGTCCCTGGGGATGGGCTCTGTGTGTGTCTTTGTCTCTCTCTTTCTGCTTGTGAACACAGCTCTCAGCTATGGTTCCACAGCCATGTGTACCAGCGTGCTTCCTGCCATGAGGATAATGAGCTGTTCCAATCAAATGCTTACTCTTATAAGAGAGCACTGCTATGCAGTGGTGGTGCACACCTTTGACCCCAACACTCAGGAGGCAGGGACAGAGGCAGGGGCAAAGGCAGAAGGCTGAGTTCAATGCTAGCCTGGTCTATGAAGTGATCTCCAGGACAGGCAGGGATACACAAAGAAACTATCTTGAAAAACAAAAAATAAACAAAAGACTTGTGTGGTCATAGTATCTCTTCACAGTAATAGAACACTAAGACAGTAATATACTCTTAATTTCTTTCTCTTTCTTTCTCTTTCTTTCTCTTTCTTTCTCTTTCTTTCCTCCCTCCCTCCCTCCCTCCCTTTTTCCTTTCTTTCTTTCTTTTCCTGAGACAGGGTTTCTCTGTGTAGCTCTGACTGACCAGGAACTCAGAGACCCGCCTGCCTCTGCCTTCCCAAGTGCTGGGATTAAAAGGCATGCGCCACCACTGCCCGGCTTATTATGTTTATTTCTAGACAGCCGATGTAACACTAAACCTAGACATGACATCAATTATTTGTATACATACCATAAGGAATGTCAAATTTATCCAAAGGCTGTGAATCATGATGTCCTAGTTGTTCCTAAATGGAGTCCAAAATAATCAATCAATTAATAACTCAAAGACATTTATTATTTTGGAAAAAATATATCTAATAGCTATAAAGATTAAATTCTTTACAGATTCAATTTCTATCAATTTACGTAAAACTGCTTAGTTTATCAAGTTATTTATTCTGTCAAAGCAACTGTACAAATAGTTCATGAAATCCACAGTCAAGTAATCAAAAATAGTACTACCAATTTAATACCAGCTTACTAATTACCATGTACTAATCTCCACAGCAGGGTAGACTTGATGCTCACACTATACCTGTCCTGCTGAAGTCCGCAATGAACTCAAAAGACATTTGACTAAGTGCCTCCAGACATGCTCATGAGGACTTAATGAAAAAGCTAAGCTTTAAGAACATATACATGGGGCTGGAGAGATGGCTCAGAGGTTAAGAGCACTGACTGCTCTTCCAGAGGTCCTGAGTTCAATTCCCAGCAACCACATGGTGGCTCACAACCATCTGTAGTGAGATCTGATGCCCTCTTCTGGTGTGTCTGAGGACAGCTACAGTGTGCTCATCATATACATTAAATAAATAAAATCTTTAAAAAAAAAAAAAAAAAGAACATATACATGAATTAAATTATGTATTTCTTTAATGTTTGTTCCAAACTGAATGAATGGTTAAACCAGTTTGACTTATAATATAGGTTACATAGCAAATCTATCTGGATAACTCTGGAGACATCTCAGCCTTTGACAGAAAATGATCATTATGTGCATTAAGACAGAGGAAAAGCCCAGAGTGACATCACACACAGCAAGTCACCAGGCAGAGGCTCTAAGCTGCAGTCTTTTCAGAGTGCTGTCCAGTTGTTTTTCACTTCCATACACGAGGGTGTCCATTTGTGGAGGGGATCAGCATGGCTCTCATGAACTATGATGGCCTGACTCTCCAAACTATGGCCTGAAACTCCAGCAACCAGGCTACAGCCACAAAGAAACACCCAGCGGTTCCATGCAGGTGAGGGAAGGGTCTACTGTAGCTGTCCTGTACCTTGGGTTTCAGGACGACTTCTGACTCATTACTAATGAGAGAATCCTCTGGCCGGAAACTGACATTTGGTTTTCTTCTGGGCTTCTGAGCTCTTCCTTCATGCAGCTCCCTTTCGGCTCGTCTGCTCTGCCTGTTGAAGATAACATGTAGAACATGGTTTCCCTCAGAGCAACTTTAGGTTCTGATCTGTATCTGAAAACAACTGCTGGAAATCTATTTCACTAAGATTTAACTAACAAGATACTCTGCTAGAATACGGATACAGTTGACACTGAACTTAGTGTTCTGGTACGGCCACTACAATCTGGGGATAGATACATACCTTTTAAACAGTTTCAAACTCTTCTGGTACCAGAAACCCTATGAAAAACCTCCACTAAGCTCCATGAAGAGACTAAATAAAAACCTCAGCAAGGAGCACTCAAGGCAGAAAAAACAGCATTTAAACACATGTTCTGTGTACATAAAGTTCTACCAACACATTCACCAGCCACTGGAGGGCCAAGTCTAGAACAGGTGCTCTTCAGTCTGGGGCAGCCTTGCTTCTACACGCTCGCTCCTCATGTAGACATGAAACACTTCATATCATCACTACCCTCCTGCCTTATACAGTTTGGGGATATACGGCAGAGTGAGTAAAGATACATACTGGAATTTTACCTGATCCCAAAGATTTGTGCTACAAAACGTAATTGTTCATTCTGTCACAGAAACACAGAGAAAAACACTCCAGCCATGAAAGGTAAGAAGGAAAACTTGAAGAAAAATGGAGAGGGGGGAAAAAAGACCACATTTCTCACAACAGAGTAAATCTTTCCAAACTATAAGATTAATTTTAACACATGGCAAATGACAAGGACACTCTAATCACATGTAATTGTACACTGTGAAGGGACTGAAGCAGAGCCGTCTCCATGACTTGGGGATACAACTTATCAGATGACATTTCATTCAGACTTGCCTCTTCCTTCCTTGTGGTATTTCAGATGTTTCCATATTGATGTTTAGAAACTGAAGACGAGCAGAATCACCCTGTTCAAATACATTGTGTGCTAGCTTTTGTTGGCTTCTTTTAAATGCCAGGAGGTTCTCAAGTGGGATAAGTTGAGGCTTCTTATACTACAAAAAGAAAACATAACTCAAATATACAATTATGTTGAAAAACAAGGAACACATTTACATTAAACTAAGACACATTAAGAGACAGAACACATCCAATCCAATGAGTCGACTTGGACAGGGAGAGTAAGTATCCTTGTCTCAAACAGCAAAGAGAGGGCTGTTAACATTTCATACAGATCTTTTTTACTTTCTCCCCTGGAAACTGACTCAGGGTCCGGCGGATGCTAAGTCAGTACTCAACCAGGGAGCTGCCTCCTTGGCCCTCAACTGAGTCATCTTGAAGCCCCATCTTCTAAACTGCATTTCCACATAAAATCTTCCTCCCTGTGAGGGAAATATGCATAGCATTTAACTGACTGTAAATACAATGCAGAATGTAATGGCTTAAAGAGTATAAATGGAGGAAGCATATCAGCATATTCTGACGATCCCTAAACAGGGGTTATCTGATTCCTAAACAGGGATTATCAGAAGAATTTGGGTTTTAGCATATTATTCTAATAAAAAAAGCTTTAAAATTATTCTCAAAGTAATAAAATTTCTGCATCATTAATTATCTCTTGTGTTCATAATACATCAAGGAAAGGAGGCATGGTTAATACTTTTCCTAATGAATAACCACTTCTCTTCATGGTAGCATCCGGGTGAAGTATACCACGGAACAAGTTACTCAATTACTACCTAGTAGGTGCTACTCACTGACACAGTTACAAGCTAAACTATCTGAGTTTCATAAATCAAGGAAGGGTCTCTGAGGAGGACTTAGTGGACGTATAAACCTACTACTGTGTCTTCACATGGAATGCTGGTGACAAGCTGGCCTGTACTTAAGAACTTTTACCTGAAACAGATTTGAGGATAATAATACTGCTAGAAACTTCAAACACACCATGTGCACTTGCTACACACACACACACACACACACACACACACACACACACACACACACCCCTACACATTCACACATACAAGCATAGAGTACATGGTAAATTTATTTTACTTATCATTGTTTTTGTACAAAAAAAACATAAAAAGTATAGATTCTGGTAGGCACACAAAATACATAAAATTTAAAATATAAAATTATTTAAACTTGACTTTTATGCTATTGTCTGTAACAGAAGAATTCTCTTAAGAAATGGGCTGAGAGCACCGGGTAGTGGTGACGCACGCCTTTAATCCCAGCACTTGGGAGACAGAGGCAGGCAGATTTCTGAGTTTGAGGCCAGTCTGGTCTACAGAGTGAGTTTCAGGACAGCCAGGGCTACACAGAGAAACCCTGTCTCGAAAAAACAAAACAAAACAAACAAAAAAATAGAAATGGGCTGAGAAAACAGTTCAGCAGGTAAAAGTGCTTGCTGCCCACCCTGGTAATTTGAGTCTGATTCCCAGAACCCACAGGGTAGAAGAGAACTAGTCTACACAAGATGTCCTTTAATATTCAAATGTGTGCTCATGGCATGTATACATGTGTGCACTGTGGTGGGTAGTTTTATGCCAGCTTGGCACAATATAAAGTCATCTGAGAGGAGGGAGCCTCAATTAAGAAAATGTCTTCATAAGACTGAGCTCTAGGCTGGCCTGTAGGGAATTTTCTTAATTATGATTAATGTGAGAGGGCCCAGTGCACTGTGAGTGGTACTGTCCTGGGTTCTCTAAGAAAGCAAGCTGAGCAAGCCATGATCAGCAAGCCAGTAAGGAGCACCCTCCATGGCCTCTGCATCAGTTTCTGCCCCCAGGTTCTTCCCCTATTAAGAGTTCCTGTCCTGACTTCTTCAATGAACAGCAATGTGGAAGTGTTAAGCCCAATAAACCTTTTCCTCCCTAAGTTCCTTTGGTCATGTTTTTTGTTTTGTTTTGCTTTTTGTTTCTTTTTTTTTGTAATTACAGCAGTAGTAACTCTAAGACATATACATATACTCATACCCAAAACAAATAGCTGTTAAAACATTTTCTAGAGCTCCCAAATGTGTGCTCCTGTAAATACAGGAAGAATTTACAGCATGGGAAAACACAGGACTCGGCTCTTCAATCACCACACATAAAGTCATTACCGTATTCTCTGGGGGCAAGCACGGATGAAGTAACGATAGTTGTGGATGTTTTCCTCCTTCTGTGCCAGGTACTGAGGGAAATCTACTTAATGCTCTTGATGGTGTGGAGAAGACATACGGAGGCTTAAATTGCAGGTGTAATAAAGGAAGTCCAAAAGAATTCTGAAGAGCTGTCTCTGGGGGTCTTGGTTTAACATCAAATCCATTTTCTGGCTTTATAAATACTGAAGAGTCCTGCTGAGGTATCAGGAACCCTTGCCCAGCACACCGGCCCACACTTGCAGGCTTCGGGACGCCCGTGAGTGCTGCCTCTGCTCTTTTCATGGCTTCAGCATTATAATGGCTTGAATCTGAAGGAGACCGAGACGTGGTATGCACTGTTCTCTGAGACACAGGAGGCTGCCAAGAGGCTGCCAAGCCCCAAGCCTCTTTTGGTTGGGCCTGGGGCCTGAAAGGAACTTCTGGAATTCTTCCTACAGGTAAGGAAAGGGGCTTGAATTCAGGCTTCTGCTGAAAATGAAGCAAAGGGAACCCACTCCCCGGAGTGACTGTTCTGGCAGGTGGAATCAGCTGAGGCATCTTCTGGACAGCAACAGGTGTGAACAGAAGCTGGAGGCCGCTGTTTCTAGCAGGAGCGGGAAAGGAAGCAGGAGCGAAGCTTCGAGGTGCTCCAGTTTGTTCTCTCACCTTAGGCTGGCCGTCTAATTGACACAAAGGAGTACTCCCATGTGGAATATCCTGAAAGAAAAAGATTATAGAAATTTAGAATATATTACAAATTCCTTATTTTGTCAATAATATTCAGTATGATTTGAATAAGTAGTATTTTAGAAAAATTACTTAAAAATAATTTATTCAAATAACAAAAAGCCAATGATTAACTGAGGACACAAATGCTATCTACTTCGTGTGTATGACTAGCTTTAATTGTCAAGTCGAGAATCACCAGAAAAAACTGTTTTAATTAACATGTTGTCCACACTGAGGTGGCCTAAGGCCATCTCTGTGGAAGACTGTCTTAATTAAGTTAACTGACGGGGAAGACCCAGCCCGTCGCTCATGGCACCACTCCCTGGGCACGGGGCTCCTGAACTGTGTAGAGTGGAGAAGGGAGCTGAGAATAAGCAAGGAAGGCGTGTATTCATTTCTGCTTGACTGTGGATGTGACTGTGACTGCACACGTCAAGTTCCTTCTACTTTGATCTTGCATAACAGACGATAGCCTGGAACAGCAAGCAGAAATAAACCCTTTCTCCCCCAAGTTGCTTTCGTCAGGGAATTTTACAACAGGAACAGAAATAAAACCAGAATAGAATGTAAGAGTACCTGTGCAGGTAGAGGTCACACCTGGGGTGTCACTCTTCAGGTGCCATCCACCGTTCCTTTGCTTTATTTTGTGTTGCTTTAAAACAGGGTCTCTTATTGGTATGTGCTCACCCAGCAGGCTAGGCTCTTGCCAGTGAGCTGCAGGGCTCTGACTGTCACTACCTCCCCAGTGCTGGGGTTTTAAGTATGCACCACCATGCCTGACTTTTCTTTAACACTGGTTCTGAGGGATAAACTCAAGCCTTCAACAAGCACTTTGGCACTGGGTTATTTCTTTAGTCCTAATAGTATCTTTGTGTGAATTACCTGTGTACTTCCATTACTATCTTCATCTGGTTGGCTAATTCTTTCGTGGTCTGGTGGGCTGTTCTTGCCAAGCTCCCTGGTGTACTCTCTCACAGATTGTGGTTTAGCAAAAACTCTCTGTCTGCTGTTGACTTCAATACAATCACTCCTTGTGGGGTTTGACACTTGGCTTTCCCCAGACTGTGCCTGCTGAAGAAGTCCATGCATGTCTGGGAGATTAGCAACAGATGGTCCTACTATTTGCATCAGGCTCAGAAAATTGATCTGCTGTAGCTAGAATAAAACAAAAAGAGATCTTAAAAACAACGAAAAGAAGATATCAGCAAGAGCCATTCTCACATGTTGAATGACATCCGATGACTCGTAAGGACAGAGAAATGCATGGAATTCCATTGTGGCTAGTCCACGTCTATGAATTTGCTAATTTTAAATTATATATAAGGTGGAGATGTACTTACATAGCCACACGCTCACCTGAACTAGTTTAAACATCTCATCTTGGAGCATCTGCCTAACAGAATCAGAAGAATCTGGTAACTGAACCCTGTGTTCATTTTCCTGAGTCTTCTGAGGTGCTTGTGAAGTAACCTGGGCTCCATTTGACATGAGGGGTGCAACTGTGGATGATTTATCTTTAAGTTCAGAAATCTGTGCACTGTGTGAAAACATTTAAATAAAAACATACATTAATCAACAATAACAACAAAAAACCCCAAAACTATCAGTTGTCTATAACCTACATATTTAGACACTATTTTTTCTTGGATTTGAGGTTTCATTCCTATATTTTTCAGGGCTCCCCAGTATCTTATCATCAGAATGCCTTGTCTTGTCTATGTCTTGTCTGCACACGTCTTGTCTATCAGTAATGTTACTGCCTAGAACTGCCCACACTGGTCCTGAAGATATCTGAGTCAATCATCCTTATTAATGGTACTGACTTGAGAATAAAGTTTTCACTAAAATTAATTTTGGAAAATAGAGTTAAGAAGAAAAAAAAAGGATTAAAATAATGTTTAATTCCTGGGTTATCAGCACAAATGACTTCTGATAATTATTAAATACAAAACCACAGAACTGTGAACATTTCATTTTCAAACAAACTAGAGTCTCCATTTACAATAAACCATAACAAAAATACATATTTAAAACAAAAGGTTAAAGACCAAAACAAGTTCTTAGGTCTTGTTTTTTGGACAAAACAATTATTAAGAAATAATTCCTTAAATATAGTGAGTCTCCAAGTGGTTTTTTTTTTCCTCCCCGTACCCCTATCCTTTCTTTCAATAAAGTCTCTATATGTGTAGCCCTGGCTAACTGCAACTCACTAAGTAGATCAGGCTGGCCTTAAATTACAGAGCACTGCTTCCTCTGCACCCCAAGTGCTGGGATTAAATGCATATGCCACCCACCAAGACTTCCAGTATTTTCTAAGCAAATAAACTTCATCAACTAAATAAGGGAAAAGGCAAGTGTAATATTCAAATAAACAGTGTTTAGAACGAACATTCAGCAATTATTTCAGGCTGACATGGGAGGTATATTCTCTTATTTTTAAATCATGATTTCAAAATTATACAGTAGATAAAAATTCTTACCTAGAAGTTTCTGAATTTGCATCTATACAAAGTGAGTGAGGAATGGTATATTCAGATTTTGACAAGGCTTCGATCGTACTACAAAAACAAAACAAAACAAAACAAAAACAAGTGATTAGGAACGCGCTATCCTTTACACTGTCTAAGGTACACACGTGACTATGCCTAGGTGGTGGCCTAAGAATCTACTCCTCTAATAATGCTACAATGCTTAGCTCATAATCATGATCTGTTTACACTGGTCTCCATAGTAATTTGTCCCAGATTCAAACAACAGCAGAGACTCAAGAACTTAATACACAACTTGAGCAGCCATGATCGCTTAGCAACACATCTAAAGCTGGAGGACACGAAGCCCCTGTGACCCACAGCTCCACTTTCCTCAGAGCAGAGAGTCTACTGTTATATTTGAATCTGTGAAGGCTAATCTTTACAAACACAAATACTTAACACTAATACTTATAATGGCATCACAGGGCTTTACATTTATTCTTTAGTGGACAGGAGATATAGCTCATTTGTAAAGTGTTTGTCCACCATATGTAAGGCCCTACACACAATCCATAGCAACTCAAGAAAAAATGTTTCAGCTGGCTGTGGTGGCACATGCCTTTAGCCCTAGCACTTTTTAGTCCTAGCACTTGAGAGGCAGAAACATGCAGAGTATGAATTTGAGGCTATCCTGGTCTACACAAGTTCTTGACCAGCCACGTCTATATAGTGAGGCCTTGTCTCAAAAACAAAACAAAAAAAAATTGTATTAACTTTTCAAAATAGAAATAAAATCTGTGATCTGAGAAAAAAGGAGTCTAATGCTTACCTCTTTTATCAAGTGTCTTAGTTAGGTTTCTATCAGTGTGGTAAAAACTAGCCAAAACAACTTAGCAAGGAAAATGGCTTATCTCACAAGATCACAGAAGGAAGCCAGGGTAGGAACCTAGAGGCAGGACTGAAGCAGTCTATGGAGTAAAGCTGCTCAATGGCTTGCTCCTCCTGGCCTGCTCACTTGGCTTTCTTATCCAATTCAGGACCAGCTGCTCAGGGGTGATATGTCCTTCTCACATCACTCAGTAATCAATAAAATGCCCTTTACACTATCTGTAAGTAATCTGATAAGCATTTTCTCAGCTTAGTTTCTCTTCCCAGATAACTACATCTTGTGTCAAGTGTGTGGGGGTGTGTGAAACCCCTTGTGTGTGGCTTGTGCAGGATGGTGTGCAGGAGCATGGGCATGGATGGAGGCCAGTCAACCTTGGGTGTCATTTCTCAGGAAGTGTTCACTTTGTTTTGGGGAACGGGGCCTCAGCAATTAGGTGAGGCTGTCTGGCCAGCAGGCCCTAGGGATCTGCCCACTTCCACTGATCCAGCACTAGAATCCTAAGTGGATACCATCATACCCACTTTTTACACACGCACTAGGCATGAAATTCAGGTTCTCATGCTTATATGACAGGCAGTTTATATGACAGGCAGTTTACTGGCGCAACTATCCACCAGCCCTTACATTTTCTAAATTTCTAAAATTGTCACCTCTCCCTGAAACAGTGATGTGCCAGTAACAAATTATGCACATCATGCAGAGCCCTAATGGACAGAACACAGCAACCAGAACACAATTAAGGCCATGTGTTGTATGATGCACAATGGTTTCATACTTCCCTAGTGGATGAATAGACCCTGACCTCTTTATAGGTAAATGAAGAACTCATTTTGGTAGGCCAAGTGACAAGAAGACAAAGCAAAAAAGAAACGATTACTTCTACCAGTGACTCCATTTATCAAAAACAGTTCACTGTCATTATGAATAAAAGCAGTAACACCAACCTAAAATATATAAATTATGAAAAATATCTGAAAACTTCATTAAGATTTTAATAAAAGTTTATAATCATGTTGTTGTGGTTTGAATGAGAAAGGCCCCCATACACGCATATGTTTGAATGCTTTGTCTCTAATTAGTGGAACTGTTAGGAGCTGGCCTTGGTGGAAGAGGTGTGGCCTTGGTGGAGGTCTGTAACTGGGCTTTGAGGTTTCAAAAGCCCATGGCAGGTCTCTGTCTCCCTCTCCTCCCTCTCTCCCTCTCCACTTTCTTTCCCTCTGTCTCTGTCTCTCCCCCCTCCCTCTGTTTCTGTCTCTGTCTCTGTCTCCCTCTCCCGCTCCCCCCACCTCTCTCCTGCCTGTGACTCTGGATGTAAAGCTTTCGGCTATTGCTCCAGTGCTGTGATGCTCACAGACTCTGAAACTGTAAGCAAGCATCCAGTTAAATGGTTTGTTTTAACAAGAGTTGCCGTAGTAATGATGTTTCTTCACAGCAATAGAAAAGTGATAAAGACACAAGTCATACTTTTTCCTTACCCTTTCTGTTGTGTCAATTTTGCATCCACACTGGTCTCCAGTGGTTCTTTCCTGGAACACTGAGCCTCTTCGGTGGAATGCTGTAAAAGTCAATAGTGCCCATACCCACAATGAAAAGAGGTGAGGCACACATGTGCATGACTGTTGTTGTGTATTTTGAATTTTACATTAAATATCAGTCTAAAAAGCAAGTGACAAAATGAACCTTAAAAGGTTCAGTCCTGCTCTGAGCAAGTCCTTATACATGTGAACTGCCTTTAGCCCATCAGGATGAGCTGTTGAGTCTATTAAAGTAGAAAGATGAGGTGGTGCTGCAGACTGTCTTATAAATCACATGTAACTTAACTTATGAAAACTATGACAAAATGAGGAAAAACTAATGCTTTCTTTTAATAAATGTGAAAATAACAGGAAAGATCTATGTTCCACTTAGAAACTTGGTTTTGAGAAAACAAATAATACATAGAAATTGCAAATCACACTGAACCCCACTTCATAAACAAGGACACATGCACTCTTGACTAGCTTGCTACTTCAGAAAATGGAACACTTCAGTGTCTGAAAGCACAGGGCACGTAACAGAATCTCAGAGAAAGAAATTCAGCACACTTGCCTTCAGGGTAGTGCATCTTCGACAGACAGCAGCTTTGCCCTAACATACTGTTCAGGGGGATGAGCACCTGAGCTGTCATTTAAGCACTAAGTCCCAGTCACAGACTCGTGTGTTGCTCACTGCTTACCTCTGACAAGAGCTGTGACTCTGGCATGCAGGTGACAGCACTGGGACCTGTGAGGCTCCCAACAGGTCCTTCTGGAAGGATTAGAAATGGAGGGAATGCTGAGCTTTAAAGATAAGCTTTTCTCTTTCTCTCTCTAAGGTTTAGGAGATACTGCAGGAAATAATATAACAGAAATATTTTCTAACCTCATACAAATTCATTTCAAAAACACCTAGAAACTACTTCTTCACCAAGTAAATGCTAGGAGAGCCCAGAGAGGCCTTGCACTAGTTTGTGTAAGTCCAAGCCAAGCTGCTGGAGCTCTGTCTCAAGTGTGACTGTTGGTGACAGGCCCACAGTTGGTTTATAGGAATCAAGAGGCTGATAATCACTACCCAGGCATGGTAAGGGGGTCAGCTCAGAAACCTACTAACATAAAAATGTCTTGCACATTTTCAGTTCTATTAGAAAATCAAGTTATAAGTAAGTTAATATGCTTTGCATTTCAAAAAATACCACTTAAATCTTTAAGTTCTATGTTCTAGGCAAATATATGTCAGAATAAAAGTTATTTTAGATGTTATTAATTGTAAATTAGTAATGCCAATGGAAATCATGACTGACCTTCAGCGTCTGAGATGTGCATGTCCATGTCATCTCGTGTAGATGACTCTACTTCTGAAGGGCTCTCGTCAACATCTCCAAATTCTCTCTCAGCCCCATGAGTAGCAGGGATGATCTCACCCTCAGCTTCCTTCACTCCACAGGCTCCTGCTTCAGTGGGCATTCTCCTAATGAAAACGTAGCCATGAAAATTAGAATCCATTCTTGGAGACAAACAATTTCTCAACATTTAATTCTTTTTTCAACAATAAACAAATTTCATTTTCATATTTTCTAATAAGTCTTTTAAAAAATGTTTCTTATATTTCTGATACATGGAAGAGCCTAGCTTTCATTTACTCAAAACACTAGAATAAATTCAGCTTATGTAAAATTCGTGTCTTCACAAAGGAGTCGCCATGCTTTTGCCATGGTATTCGGCATATGCAGGTCACTGTCCCTCCGAGGCTACTGCTGTCCAAGGCTGAGCTCGCAGAGCAGTGCTGGGCAGTGGTGGCTGCACTGAAAGGGGGCACGCTGTCCCAGGAGGTTCACAGGTTGATAACTGTGTGCCTTCGAACAGGATGATGAGTCCCAGCCCTTCCTCTTTTTTGTTTTCTAGCCGAGAAGTGGGTGATCCCCTCTACCATGTACTTCCATCATGATATCCTATCTCAGTGAGGGCCTAAAGCAATAAGGCCACCAGCCATAAAGTGGAACCTCTATTACAGTGGCCCAGATAAACCTTTCTCTGTAAGCTGCCTACCTCATGTTTATCAACATAGTGACAGAAACCTGACTAACTGTTCTCAAATAATACTGTTCCTACTGTTGTCTCACAGTAAAGGGGTCTTTCAGAAGGAATTAGTTCCTCTCGCAAAAAATACATGTGAGACCAGTGTGGAAGAAACAGTTTACAATGAATTCCAAGTACTTCAGGAAGCTTACATTCTGTTCCTGTAGTTCAAAGAAATGCTCCTTCTTTTCATTTTTAAGAGCTAAAGTCTTCTTCCTAAACCAACAGACTTTACTGAAAAGGAGGATACACATAGCGACTTACTTCCAGAGGCTTTGACGGCATTCATTCTGGTCACTTCTCTCCTCAGTTCCTGTCTGAGCTGCTACTGCAACTGGAGAGTCAAGGTTAGTGTTCCTTTCCCTCTCGGCTGCCACTTGAGACACAGTGTGAAGATTCTCTAGCACCTAAAGAAACCATTTTAGAACTTTATATGGAGTATTACACCACTTTTTAAAAGCATACTTTTATATCACTCATATGCTATCTAGAACTGATTAATTCTTTTATACATTCCTTGTTTACTGCATTTGTACATTCAATTGTTTGTTTTTAGAGGCAATGGTCAAATCTTTAGTCTACCTGGAAAAAGTCAGTTTGACTTCCTACATAAAGCTCAAACATAAAGCAGTTTTCAGCCAGGCAGTAGTGGTGCACACCTTTAATCCAGCACCTGGAAGGCAGAAGCAGACGGATCTCTGAGGTCAAGGCCAATCTGTCAACAGTGAGTTCTAAGACAGCCAGGGCCACTCAGAAGAACTCTCTTTCAGGGGATTTTTTTTTTAAAAAGGAAAAGAAATGAAACCATTCTTCCACATATTTAACCTATAATAACTTTTTTTTTTGGCCATAAAACAGAAGTAGTAAAAAACGGATGCACTCATCCCCCTTTGCTTGCCGTTATGATGACATCTGGAAACTGGAGCGATAGCTTTGTCCTCAAATTCCTTGCTGTGTAAGCATAAGGTCCTAGGTTAGACCCCTAGAACTCATGGAACAAAGCCAGAGGAGTTGGCACACAGTTGTAACCCCAGCCATAGGTAGATAGAGAGGATCCCAGGGCTCACTGGCCAGCAAGCCAATCTTTCTAGCAAGTTGTAGGCTAGTGAGAGACCCAGTCTGAAAACCAGGTGGACAGCACTTGAGAAATGACATCTGAGGTTGACCTTAGGCCTCTGTAAGCATATGTGTTCTCTCCTCCCTAACACACCCCCCCCACAATTTTATGATCACATGCACCTAAAAATACAAGTGACGGCTGGAGAGATGGCTCAGTTGTTCAGAGCGCTGGCTGCTCTCCCAGAGGACCTGGACATGATTTGATTCTCAGCACTAACTTCATGGCTTACCACCATCTACAACTCCAGTTCAGGAGATCCAACTCCTTCTCCTGCTTTCCTCAGGCACTGCATGTGTGTGGAACACAGACACACATACAGGCAAAAAATACCATACACACAAAAATAAAAGGAAAAAATATAAAGCAATACAAGTAATATTTGTCTAACTCAGACATGTGTTACCTAGAAATACAAATTTCAAGAAAACAAGTACCCTCATTTCACCTAAACTTTATACCTTAAAATAACAGAAATGGATATTTTTTAAGAAGAAAAAAACAAAAAAAAATCAATACACACACACACACACACACACACACACACACACACGTACTTCTTCAACACTGGTTTTAGAAGGAAGGTCTTTACTATTCATATGCTAAAGAAGGATTGATAAGCAGTGTTTCTCCATAACTGTTTTTCTAGGTCAGACTTTTCAACCTTTGTCTCCAGAGTACAAGTAAAAACATCCCCTAATGCATTTGCTGAAAACTTCAGTAACAAAAACCCAGTAGCCCAGTCCCTTTATCAGCTAATGCCTGAAACTTAAAAGAGAAAAAACAGAAATGTAAAAACATTTACAAAGTTAACAAAGAGTTTTCTTCCCCTTTCATTGTGTACAAATAACATAAAAAAATAAAACCCTCCCAGCCTCCCTGAAGGCACTTATGCTGTAACTTTCTCAAAGAATGAAAGGAATCCCTTTTGGAAGAAAAAGAATACACTGGATGACACAGGGCACAATCAGCACTGTCATTAATTTGCTATTCCTTGAATAGGTCTTTACAGGGTAAAACCAGTTTTAAACTAGAGTGGCCTGTTCTTCACTTGTTGTGAGTGGCTCATGTAATTACCTTAGTAATGCCCTTTCTTGCTACATATGCAGCAGAATAGGGTCGCTGCAGAAGCCATAACGCGGTAAGAATGGCAGCTGCAGAGGTTTTCACACGAATTACTGGGCTGTCTTTACAGGACGGCCGGGTGACCGCAGAATCACAGAGGAGTCTCCGATCTGCCCATCGGATCATCCACTCTACCAGTTTCCCCGCGTCCCCGAACATGCTCTGAAGGGCCAGAGGAAGGTCTTCCCGAGGGTGGCCGGCACTGCACTGCACAGCTCGGAACCTGTGTCTTCCGGTTTTAATGGACTTGGGGATCCAAGAGTGGCTTGACGATCTCTGCACTGTGGGTTTCTCTCGTCTGTCATCTGGAACTCTATAAATTGGCTTTTGTTTTATGCCAAACAATCCCACGCTTCTTTCCAGGTTCACGACTTCAGGTAGAGGGTTCTCTGAGGTGCCCCCTGACTGGTTACCTAGTTCTGAAGCTGAAAGGGCCTGGCTTTCTAAATTTCGGGCAGCCACACTGTTTAAAGAGGACAGGTTTTCAGATTCCTGTGACTCAGGAGTGACAGCAAAGCAGGAACCAGCTCTATACACACTCTCACTGCTGGTTTTGCTCTGGCGTCGTTTTAATGTTGTATGTACATCAAAAAGTAAAGAATTAAGTTCGTATTCTCTAAGGCGCCCAGAAAAGCTTGTCAAAAATGGAATGCCAGGATCACTGGAACAAAGGTCTCTTTCAAGAACGTAACTCAAGAAGAGCTCAAGGAAGTTAATATACTCATCATCATCACGTTCAAATTCCCAAACACCAATTACAGGCAGTGCTTCTTTCCCTGATGTTGCATGATCTTCTTTCCTTTGGGAGTTTTCTTTCTGATTACCTATTTTCTTTCTATCACTGGGCTTACCAACCAATGCTAATTCCACACGACTTGGGGCATGCCTATGGTATAAAAAAAAAAAAAAAGAGGAAGAACAAAATTAAACATTGTTTAATTATTAATACTGATCTCATAATGGATTTTAAAAATATTTCTGTATTGATCAAGTTGTGTATCATTTTTGTGTTTCACTTGCCTATCTTTTCAATGAAGCATGATGAACTACATGATTTCAATAAGCAGACTATTCTACAAGGCTGAAAGGACAGGGAGTTGGAGAACTGGCTTAGCAGTTTAGAGCACCAGCTGCTCTTCCAGGGGACCTAAGTCTGGCTTCTAACACAGGCAGCTCAAAACTATTTGTAATTTAAGTTTCAGGAAATCGAAAACCCTCTTCTTATCTCCATAGGAACCAAGCATGCACACATAGATACACATAAAATAAAAATCTTTAAAGTACAATATGCAAAGGGAAACTAGGCATAATTAAAATGTGTTCACATAAAGTTTACTATATAAAGAGAATAAGGGTGCTGCCAAGATGGCTCAGCAGGTAAAGGTACTTGCTGCCAAGTCTCATGATCTGAGTCCTTTCCCTGGAATCCACACAGTGGAACAAGAAAACCAACTCTCTCAAACTGTCCTCTGACCTCCACAGGAATGCAATGACATGCATATCCCCCACATACCAGACAGACACACAAATATAAAAATAAAATGCATGAATGTCCATTCTGAAGGTGAAAATGGCCCTCTAATATAAACATTTAGAAAATTAAAGTCACAAGCCACCAATATGCATCCCGTGTTCCATGGTTCTTTTCCCACTGCCTCTCTCAACCCCGGTGACACAGTGTGAACAAGGAGCACAGTTCCTTGAGTTCCACTATGCAGACGCTTGAGTCTTTTCAAATTATAACAGTGAAAACAAAAGTTTCGCTCCATGAAACTTGTTGGCAGGCACCTTAGCTGTCAGCCACACTGCTTTCAAGTGACTCTCTTCAACATAGTTGCTAGGGTAGGACACAAACTCGGATCTCAGCAAGAGAAAAGTTGGGAGGTCCCTGGGCCCAAGTCAGTGCATGTCTGCTTACCTAGACAGCACAAAAGCAGCCTGCAGAGTAGGTCTACATATTTAAGCAGTTGTTTTGGTTTTTTGTTGTTGTTCTTTGTTTTTGTTTGCTTTTGTTTTTCGAGACAGGGTTTCTCTGTGTAGCCCTGGCTGTCCTGGAACTCACTCTGTAGACCAGGCTGGCCTCGAACTCAGAAATCTGCCTGCCTCTGCCTCCCAAGTGCTGGGATTAAAGGCATGCGCCACCACTGCCCGGCCACAGTTGTTATGTTAAACAAGCATGCTATTATAATCTTATTAGATCTTGTTGAAGTATGTTTGGAGTATATATGATAATTTAACTTAATCAAGATGAAAATTATTGATTATATATTTTTTAAGTTGAAGAGAATATATTACATTGAAGTTACTATAATTTTAATCGAAACAACAAAACCCAAGATCTTAAATCACAGGTTTATACAATAGGGAAGGATCTGCCAGGAATCTATAACGAGTTCTAAAGATGATCGTTAAAGTTCCTTCCTTTGGGTCCTCAAACATAACATGGCTACCCAATCACTTCAAATTACAGATTGTGTATCTGTTATCTCGAATTCTTGGGACCAGAAGTATTTTGAGTCTGGGTAGGTTCTTATTGGTTGAGGCAAGGGGGGTTGATATTTGCACAAATGTAATGAAATGTCTTGGGGATAAGCCCCAAATATGGAAGCTTAGTGATATAACAATTATCTGTAATGTACAAGGGCATAGGTTCCTGCTCCAGCACTAGAAACAAAACAACCATCTATTATGTTTTAAATAATCCCATAATCCTTACTCCTAATGACATGAGGAAGTCTACATAGTATATTTAGAGTATTGTGACTTTGACCTCTCATAAAAAAATCAAGCATGAATTTTCAACTTTTAGTATTTTACTGGATTTCAAAGCTGAATTTCATATTTTAGGTTTTTAAATTAAGTATGTTAAATTTGTATTTAAATATGAAGATTAAGCTGGACATGGTGGCACAAACCTTTAATCCCAGCATTCAGGATGCAGAGGCAGGCAGATCTCTGAATTCCAGGCCTGCTAGGGCTACATAATAAAATCTTGTCTCAAAATAAAAACAAACACCACACACACACCCTCACTCACCCTAAAGAAATCTAAAGATTATTAAAAAAAATAAAGACCTCAAGTCACCCACTGAATTGTGTCTACTGATCTGTCATCTCAGATGTCAAAACCATTCCATAATCTGTAATATTTACAATGAATTTCAAATATATAAACTTGTAATGCTCTTGTGAGTTTTATATTGTTGAGGATTCTGGGATTGGAAATACGCTCTTCACGTGCAGCTCTTCTGGAGGAAGCCGGTACTTGTATTACAACTCCTACGCGTACCTTTGATAGAAGTAGATCCAAGGTTTTTCTTCAAAAGACGTTTCCGAGAAGGTATCTGCATCACTGTGTAGCAGAGAACTGCCCAGTTCTAATGTGAGTGTACTTCTGCTCAAACTGGTCCCCAGGGAAAACCTGTCGGCAGTGGCGGCGGCAGGAGCAGCAGCTGGTTTTTCTTCTTCATCCGGCTCCCATATATCCATCTCAAAAGCGCCGATGTTCCTCTGCACGCGTTTTAGGGCTTTCACCCTCACTTTATGGGCAGACTTCATGACTGTAGACATCAGCTCCTCGGTTTGAGGACCTACAGGGGGGAAAAAACAAAGTCCTTATGGTTCATAGAACCATGGTTTCAACTCAAGATTTAAGGCAGGCCCAGTAGTCCATGACTCCAACACCAGCACTTGGGGGCACAAACAGGAGGATCAGGACAAGTTCTGGCCAGCCTTGTCTGCACACTAAGTTCCAGACCATCCATGGCTACAAGGCTGTGTCCAAGAAAGGAAGAGAGGAAGAAAGGGATCCAATTCTGACTGGAGACATGGAAGCAAGCTAACTACTAAGGCTTATTTCCACATTATTGTAGATTATGTTTTTTTGATATTAGTTGGAAGCTTTGGCCCTTTCCAGAACTGCAGAAGCTGAATAAGAGCCAATAATAATAATAATAATAATAATAATAATAATAATAAATGAAGTAAATAAAAATAATAATAAAAATCAAAGAACCCAAATTCCCTTGTTCCCCTTCTTAAGAAGCGTATCATAAGGAGAAATAATCTTTGGGTAGGCCAAGCATGGAAATGTGCACCTGCACGTCTCCTACTAACTCAGGACTCTGAAATAGGTGAATTAGAAGACCCATCTCAAAACAAAACAAACACCAAACAAACCCCACCATAGCTCAAGAAGGTATTTGATATAGACAGTAGATGCTAATATGACTTTCTAAAAAAGATTCTGAAGAACTCCTTCACCCTCCTGGCCTTCCTCATGAAGCTGTCAATGCCTTAGAGTAGGCAAGTCTCTACAAAACTGGTTTAGAAGAAGAGAGCCACAACATGACTGGCTGCAACTATACAGTAGGCAAGGACTACAGTAAAGAACCTCAAAGACAACCATGTCACTGAAAAGTACCTCAATGAAGACATGAGCAAGTAAACATGCCTCATTCCTTAAGAAGACATGCAATGCCGGGCAGTGGTGGCGCACGCCTTTAGTCCCAGCACTTGGGAGGCAGAGGCAGGCGGATTTCTGAGTTCGAGGCCAGCCTGGTCTACAGAGTGAGTTCCAGGACAGCCAGGGCTACACAGAGAAACCCTGTCTTGAAACCCCCCCCCAAAAAAAAATCAGCAGCTGGCATAGTTTGGTGGTGAAGCATGAGCAAGATGCCAAGAAGCTCTGCATCGTCACAAAAGGAAGGAAGGAAGGCAGGAAGGTTACATGGAAGGCTTTGTGTTCTATACATTTTATCACAATAGAAAGTCTACAAGGCCAACTTGAATGTACAGGATAAAACCAAAAACGTAAGTATCTTTAAGCAAAGAGAAAAAAAGATGAGTTTTCAGTAAATATATGAAGTGCACAGACCACATGATCTATTTCATTTTGGGGAAAATTCTTCTGTGTGGACCAGAATGGTTTTGAAAACATGAGCACAAGCAATCCTCCCCACAGGGGACCCCAGACCCTCTGCTCATTTTATATCGATCTCTTGCCTTGCATAGTCCTCTCTCAATACATAGTAATCAAGTAGGTAACAACATAATCATTTTAGTTATAAATAAGAAAACGAGGCCTAGAGTAAAGGCCTAACGATATTGAACAACTTGCCTAAGCCACAGTTACTGACAGAGCTATACATGAAGTCGGCTCCCTCTTATTGCAAGGCAACATAATTAGTTCTGCAATGGGGTCATACATCTACTTTCTCATTCTTTACCTTTAGGGATGGGAAGAAATTCAGATACCTGGGTGGCAGACAACAGATAGCTTCAAAACAAGAGCATCTTGGAGCTGGAGAGACAGTTCAGTAGTTCCCTGCACTGTTGTTCTTCCAGAGGACTGGGTTCAGTTCCCAGCACACACATCAGGCGGTTCACAGCTGTCTGTAACTCCAGCTCCAGGGGAACTGAGGTCTCCAGAGGCACTTGCACACCCATGGCATATACAGATACATTTGCACACCCATGGCAGACACACATAAATAAAAATAAATCCTTTAAAAACAGAACATCTTCAACAATATGTACCCATTAGACATCAAAGAAATAGCAAATACCTTTCACAACAGCATGTCTGAGTGTCTGTTGAAGAGAGTGGTATTTCTCTCTTAAAGGAACCCTTATGGCCTCAGCAGTGGGAAATGCTTTCACAAAAATTTCTGCTACCTTCAGAAAAAAAATTAATGTTTTATGAGCAACATCAGTCTTTTTCTTACTCCTTTTTAATTCTTCAAACACTTTAAGTCAGAACATAAACGTCTACTTAAAACTCTTTTGTTCTTCAACCAAGCTACCAGAAATCAGCATCGTTTTTATTCCTCTTTATTGTATTTTAAAATATTTGACAAAATTATGTATATTCAAGGTAGAGGATATAATGATCTGATATATAATTTATGCTGAGTATATCAGCCAAATCAGCATGTCATTAGCCAAATGCAGTAATAACTGTATATGTGCACATGCACAGCATGAACAAGATCTACCTCCTTCATTAAACTTCAGAAAATGCTAGCCTACAATGAATTCTAGTCACCATGCTGTACACTAGCTCCTAGAACTAATTCATCTTATAAATGCAAGTTTGGACCCTTTAGTCAACATGTCTTCATCCCTGCCCACCCTTTAAAAAAATAGTTTACTTTTCTCTATGTTCTCAGAACCAATATTTTTTAAAAAATCTGTAGAAAAAAACTGAGATGGATCTGAAAGGCATGATCCATTAGCCTCAAGGATTTATGGAAACTGTTCCAAGAAGCAAAGAGGCTTAAGAAGAGATAGAAGGATGACTACTTACTGAGTGGTGATACGACCCCACGTCTACCACATCTCTAACACCTCCCTATTTCCAGCACACCCCAGCCCTGGCTGCGCTCTGCTTCGATGAGCTTTAGGATCTACCTGTGAGATCATACAGTAGCAATCTTTCTGAACCTGGAGGATACTATCCAATCAGTCTGACAGGAAATGGCAACATTATCCCTAACTCAAACAACAGAAATCCATCAGGGCCTATTATTCAGATTTAGGGTTTTTTTTTGTTTGTTTGTTTTTTAACCAACAATCATATTACCTTTCTGATTGGTGGCAGTTCTCCAATAAGGCTCAAAATTATATCCTGAATAAGCTCTTCCATATTAAAAAACCGAGAGAATGGTAGCATCCTGCAGGCCCATTCCAGTGCATGAAAACAGTGCTCAACCACACAAGAATCAAACTCCACCTCGAGGTCCTGTGTGGATAAGAAGAAAACTGTCTTTTCAGTTTACATGGACAGACCAGAATAAATTCATCAGAAGAGTTTACTACAAACAGTAAACACTTCTACTAAGTAATAATTTTCCAAGTGATGTTTATTTTCTATTCTTGAGCTGATAGATAGATACCTTTTCTATCTTTGCGTTTTCTCTTGCTTTCTGATACTGCCTACAAGTGTATGATAATTTATCCCGGATATGCAACATCCAGCACAAAGCACAAAGTTCTCTGAAGCAACCTAAAAACACAAATGTAAAAGGAAATTATGTACATATTACACCAGCAGGTTATTTATGTCTTTATTCTGTTTATTATAAAAGAAAAATGTGAGGGCTGCCTAGGTAGACAGGTGCAACAAGTAAAGTGCCTGCTGCTGTGCAAGTGTACAGATCAGAGTCGGACCTGTAGCACTCAGGTAAACCCGGACAGTGTGGCAGCCCACTGTAATCCTAGCACTCAAGAGGTGGGGATGCAGGATCCCCAGAGTAAGGAGGCTGGCTACGCTAATCCAGCCAATGAGCTTTGGGATCAACTGAGGTACCTCACTGTATCAGATGGAGAGTGATCAAGAAAGATACCTGATAGCAACCTCTTACTTCCATATGCATACACATGTGTGTATGCAAGCACATCAATGTGTATGTATAAATACACACATGCACATGCCAAAATAAAAAATGTGGTCACTACAAGAATCTTATACAAAAGTTATAAAGATACTTCCAGCATTTTAATATATAATATTCTAGAATATTTTATAACTATCAGTTGCATGATATAAAAAATTACAGACTAAATTATTTAATCTATTTAGTCCCAACTTACTTGACTTATAAATTTATACTATATTGTAAATATTTTTCAATTTTAACACAAACCCTATAATAATTGATTATTATTCAGAGTATTGCTTATTTTTTTTATAGCACTGGGAATTGAACCCAGGGCCTCATACCTGGCAGGCAAATGTTTTAACACTGAGCTACAAACCTTAAAATTTCTTATTGATATGCATTTTTACTTAAACTTTTTTTTTTTGAGACAGGGTCTTAATATGTAGCCCAGGATAGACCTAAACTCACTACACAGACCAGGATGGCCTCAAACTCATAGAAATCCACCCGCTTTGGTACTGCTCAACCTTCTAAATTCTAAAACCAAATGCCAATATTGATTCTTAGAAGGAGTTTTACATTTACTTTATTTATGCCTGTGTGTGCGCGCGTGCGTGCACACACGTGTTTGTCTGTGTGTTTGCACAGTTGTGCATGTCCCATTGGCTTTCATTTGGTGGTCAGAACACAACATGCAAGAGTCGGCTCTCTTTCTACCATGTGGGTTCCGGGATTGAATTTCGGTTGTCAGACAAGGCTTTCCAGGGTTGTCAGACAAGGCTACAAGTACCTTTACCTGATGAGCCATTACACAGGCCCAGAGTACTAATTTATATGACATCATATGGCCTGAGGGCAGGATTCTGTTGTTTAGACCTGGCCTAAGTCTGACTCCTAATGCTGTAAAACACACACATATTCTCTCTCTCTCTCTCTCTCTCTCTCTCTCTCTCCCCCTCCTCCCCTCCCTCTCTTCTCCCTTCCCTCTCTCCCTCCCTCCTTCTCTCCTTGTTTCTGTCTTCCAAAGTTTTATTACCTTTTTGACCTATCATACATATAACTGGACACAAATTATGAACTGAAAAATTAATGTATATAGGAAAATGCAAATAAAGAACTAAACAATATAACTATTCATAAAGACATTCTGATGTGCTTGCCATGCTGGTACACATGTGTAATACTAGCTTTCTGAAGGCTAACATATGTGGAGCATGAGCCCAGCTGAGCATGAGAGACTATCTCAAAACATAAAGCCAAATAAAGATACTCAAGATTATCTCAGGGGATGCTACCTCAAAATCAAGGGCATTGTTAACATAAAGTTAACAATTTGTTTTGGCATCAAATAAATTTGGCATCTTATTTCAAGAGGTAAGAAATAACTAAATGCATTAACTCAGAAATTCCACTTCTGAGACTTAGAGGAAACTTTTCATAATACAAATCAGAACTGATATGCCAGAGACAACTGAATGCCTGTCTGCTAATAAAAGCCATCAAAACTAGTTCATAATAATATATGAAAAGAAACCTAGGTATGTTAAATCAAAAAAACAGGAAACAACATTGGTTCATCTCTACAGACAGGTTCAAAGCCCGCCCACATAACACTGTGGTAATAAGGACACCTTTCTGCAAGGAACGCTACAGAAAAGGTATTCTTGAGTGCTGAAATTCCAAATTTAAACAAGGAAGCAACAATAATGTCATAATTGTCACAATTTGTTCTACATAAAAGTTTAATTTATGACCATACATAATGCATCTACATACATACATACTGGAGAGTGTCTAGGTATAAACCCCTAGGTACAATATCAAAGAGCAAACTAGAGTCAATACGTTTAGAAAACTTTCCCAGATCAAGTGAAAATCCTATTACAGTTCATATGCATCTGAGTTCCAACCAAATAGCTCATTTCTGACCAACCTAGGGCTTTGATGGAAACTTCATCAAGCGTGTGGTCTCCAGCCGCTCCAGGTCTAAAGAATGCTATCCCTCCTCTACAGTAATTAAGTAAGGATTCAGGGAAAGAACTAAGAGAAGGAAGGGACCCTTTCATTCGAATCTGAAAAGAAGGGTAGACTGTGTTAATCAGCAGTAAACAAATCTTTACAGGTGAGGGCGTCAAGGAAAACACAGAACACAGGCAGCACCAGTCCTCTGCTAGAGCGCAAGCAGCCCCGCATTGAGCTGCACTTCAGAGACTCCATTCAGAAATGTAGCTCAAGTCCTTCAATCACTACATTCTATGGGAAAAGAAAAAGGTGTTAAACCAGTTGCATTCTCTTGACAGTTTCCTAGAATCATCTGTTTTCTGTACAGTCATGAGTCAGAAAATAGTTAAATGTCATCTGAAATTAAATGTGCAGTACCTAAAACAAGTTAAAAAAAAACCTTACTTACACAACTTTTAAAAAATAAATCTGTAAATGACAATAAAAAGTCATCAACTGGCAACTCCTAAAAGATAATGACTCTAGATACGGACTATCAATTAATGTCAAACTAGAACAGAAGCTGATGAGTTGAAGGTGAACTTGATCCGGGATCTGACTTGACCCAAATTCCTTGTGCCATATCATTTTTAGAACTGAAACAGACAGAGAAGTACATGATAGTTACAAAGGATCCTTTCCAAGAAGATCCGAGCCTGAATATAATCAAACCTGTGTATGTCAGTGGGTAGATATCAACAACCAGTTTCCAGGAAATAAATAGAATGAACACGGTGAGTGGCACTCAACAATCACAAATGTAGAATATAGTACAGGACAATCACTGCTTCTCTAATATATCAAGGGTTTTTTTTTCTGTTTGTTTTGTTTTTAAGAGGAGGATGCTGTTATAGATATCAAATAAAAAAAAAAAAGATGAGCAGTAAGTTTATAGCGTCTTTCTACCTGTTATTTCAAGAAAGATACAATCTAATCAAATGCTCTGTAAGCATGCTAATGACCGCCCCTCCATCAGACACTTTTCTGGTAGGATGTTACTAAGAGGGAGACCCAGCAAGGAGATGGGAACCTCAGACCCATGGCCACTCACAGCCTCAATGAGTCTGGAAATGGATTTTCCTGACAAGGCACTAGAAGAGAGCATCGCTCTGCTGTTTCCCGTGAATAGCTCTGTGGTAGAGTAGAAGCAGCTTGGCTGGAAGGACTTTGATGTACAGAAACAGTGAGATGGGTAAATGTATAGAGAAACATATCCAATACCCAGTCAGCTTCAGAATAGGTGAGTCAGCACATGTCAGGGTGGAAAGGAATGGAAGGTCCAGAATTAAACTGTGCATCTCAGAAGACAGTGAAGGAAGTCTAGGTCAGTAAAGAAGTCTCCTTACATAAACAGCCAAGAACTCAGCTTAATTGTCCGTGCTTGGAACCTACTGGGGTTGCCACAGAACAAAGATCTTAACTTTCTAGAAGGGAGTGTCCTAAACAGAGGAAATCTTCCAACATTCGAGGGGCAGAAAGAGCAGGTACAGTCTGGAAGAACTGACTATGTAGTGACACTTTCTATTACCATACAGAGTGAGCTAATCCAGAGACACCTCACAGTGTCGTCTTAGCCAGAAGCTGGCCTGAGTTGTTCATTGTAAATAAGCCCAAGATTTATGGTTCACAGGGCAGGACTCCTTAGGAAAACACTGGTGTAAATGAGCACTCTCAGCTGCCTTACACAGCACCTGAATGACTAAGACATTACATACCTTCTGCATGACCTTTCTTGCCCACCTCAGCTGTAAGATGTACCACTGTGCTACAGGAAAAGAACACCGAGATGCCCGGAAAAGCAAGAGAACTCGCTGCAGGATTCCAGACAGCTTTTGGCGATTATCTTTTTCAGCTTTTAAAAGAAGATTGTCACCATGTTCCTGAGGACAACAAAACAGTTATCTATTACTTAAACAGCTGTTTGGTATGTTACCTGAGACTGTACATGTAGTAAATAGATATTTACTACCCTGGGCACTAGAAGTTTATCTTCAGCTCTTGCATTTTTTTTTTTCTTTTTGGTTTTTCGAGACAGGGTTTCTCTGTGTAGCCCTGGCTGTCCTGGAACTCACTCTGTAGACCAGGCTGGTCTCGAACTCAGAAATCCGCCTGCCTCTGCCTCCCAAGTGCTGGGATTAAAGGTGTGCGCCACCACCGCCCGGCAGCTCTTGCATTTTTAACATGATCATTATTACCAGGCTATTTTTAAAAAGCAGACTGAGTCAACTTTTACCAAGAGAGGACTCCACTGAGCTTACCTCACTAAGAACGGCTGGCTGGGGGCAATACAATGGAGGCGCTGGAAGATACAAGTCGACGGGCACTAAGCCCCACAGCTTCTTAGTGAAGTCCTTAGCAGAGTTCATTAACAGCTGTAGTGTTTCTGAAACAATGTCTGCATCAGCCATAACTGATGCTTTCAGCACTTCTTGCACAGACCCAAACAGCAGATTAGCATCTTCTTCTTCAATGGGATCTAACAAACATGACAGGCGGTAACATTAGCCAGGTATGGTAGCTCATGACTATAGTCCTAGCACTCAAAAGGAATCATCAAGGTCACACCAGGATATATAACAAGACCCTATCTCTAAGATTACAGTAAGTAAAAATGTATGTACAAAACAGAATATTCTCCAGTATAGCTGTTTTGGTTTTGGCAGTGCTGAAGATTGAATCCAGGGCCTTGTACATGTCAAGCAAGTGCTCTACTACTGAGTTGTATGTTCTACTATTGAGTAAGCATGTTTTCACCTGACATCAATTTTCTTTTTCTTTCTTTTTGTGGTGCTCAGAGTAGACCCTGAGCAAAGCACGTGCCAGGAAAGTCCTTTGCCACTGAGCTGCCGCTCCAGCTTACTGACATCAGTTTTCAGTGCCCCCATGATTAAGTATAAATATCATCCTTAAATTTTTGATAATTTTTCATGGTTTTTATATTTATAAATATTCATAAGTTTTTGTAATAGCACAGGGTTTATATTAACCTGATACACTTAGAACTCATGTAGGTAACATACCTGTAAATTGCTTATATTTTGAGCCCTTTTCATTCTTTGCTGCCAAAGAGACTGGCTGACCTAAAAAACACTGCAGTTTTTCCTGGAAAATCTGTGCTGGTATCATATTTAATGGGAGGTCCATACCCTTTTTCTTGGACCTGCAATAAGATCAAGGTAGGAGAAATAAAATTTTTGAAAAAAGGAAAGATTTTACATCAAAAAATAAGTGTATTTAAGAAAATATGGAATCAATTGCTCTGTTAACCTACTTACGAAAAGGCTCTCCAGAGGATCCAATTTCTCTATTCTCACTGCTGTCCTTCATCCATACCTCTACCCAAAATAACCCAAAGCTTCTCTGCCAAAGACTTTTGCTCATGCATAAGATGTTCGCACTCCTTAGATGCTCAATTCATCAAAATGCTACCTACCCTCCAGTGTGCATCTGAAAGGGCATCTCCTACATGGAATGCTTCTGGCCTTCCCCTTTCACTATTATGCAATATTTGAAGCTTATCTAAAAATCCATCCCTTGGGCTGGTGACCTGGCTTAGCAGGTAAAAAGTCATGCTGCCAAGCCTGACAATCTGACTTCATTCTCTGAAACACACAGGTAGAAGGAGAGAACTGACTCCTACAACTTTTCTTCTGACTTCCACGTAGGTGCCATGACATATATGCACACATACGCACATACACACATACCACACATGCATGCGCACACACACAATGCACTCACACATACACACACAAGCACATGCATGCACGCAAACGATAGGTATTTTAAAAATTCATACCGCCCAGAATTGCAATGTTTACAGAACACCTGGAAGGCCACACCAATGGAAACAGACGTCTTCCAGTCTCCAAGTTTATGTGCCATCCACACAGCCTCTGGAATCAGGCCACCAATAAATAATAATTCAAGAGTATATTCAACTGTCCACACATTTGAGAGATTCTGATCTCTAACAATACTGGCCACCTTAGAGTGCTGTAGAGGAATAAGTCGCAGGGAATGATCTGTGAACCAATTAGAGAAAACGATATCACAATTGCATTCATATACCCAAACTCATGAAACAATTTTTTCAGTTAATATTTTCAAACATGACAATGAAGAAGAATACAAAATGAAATAATGCCATCTAGAATAGTTTTATTAATACTGAAATATGTGCTTCCTTAAATGGGCTATGTGTAAAATACAAGCATCCTTAAAAAAATAAAAGACAGCAGAAACAGAGTAAGTGCACAAAATAAAGGTAAATACTACTTAATGAGTTAGATAAACCACGCATACATATGTACCAGACCAGGGGCTGCGGCAGTGGTTCTCAACCTTCCCAATGCCAGGACTCTTTACTACAGTTCCTCATGGTGTGGTGACCCCCAGCCATAAAAGTATTTTTGTTGCTACTTTATAACCGTGATTTTGCTACTGTTATGAATGTTAATGTAAATATCAGATATGCAGGATGGCTTTAGGGAGCCCCTATGAAAGGGGTATTTGACCCCCAAAGGGGTCACGACCTAAGGGTTGAGCACTGCTGGGCCATAAAGGATCAGGGGTTAAGAGCATGGACTACTCTACCAGATGAGGATTCAGTCCCAGCACCCATGACAGACAGCTCACAATCACCTGTACCTCCAGTGCCAAGGGACCTAGTGCCCTCTTCTGGCCTCCTTGGGCATTGCAGTAATACGTACATACCCACCCACAAACATACACATATACTAAAAATAAAATAATCTTTTAAAATTTATTGGATCATAATGTACAGTAACTGAAGTATTCAGAAATGTGTTCCTATTTTTCATAGCAGATTATAAAATCTGAAATAGACTATTTTATTTCATTTTACATTATCCATAGAGCCAAAATTTTTTTCCAATTTCAGAAAATGTTCAAAACATACAAAATGTTTAATACATCACTTTTCATTAAAAAAGAGGACTGGTATCTGGGGAGAGAGTTTAGTCAATAAAGTGGTTGCCGTATACACATGAAGACTTGAGTTTGATCTCCAGAACCCACATTTTCAAAAGCCAGGCATGCCTGTCTGTGTGTTTATGAGCTCTGTACTGGGGCAGCACAGATAGACTGATCCTGAGTTGCTGGTCCACCAGAATAACCTATCTGGTGTATTTCAACCCAGTGAGGGAACCAGTCCTGACTCAAAAATGAATTCAAAGAAAGCAAGAGTAGATAGTGCCTGAGCAACGACCCCTGAGGTCTTTTCTGGCTTCAGAGTGTGTGTGTGCGCACGTGTGCGCGCTCGCACACAGGTTGATGGGTGGGTGATGGGTGGGTGATAGGTGGATTGATGGGTGGGT